AGAAGCTCTTTCTGGAATGTTAGGCAAGAACTGAAACTACAACTGAGGTTCACAGACCTGCTGCCTCTCACCCCAAGAAGCTGAAGCCACTGCCCCCTACTATGCCTCTGTGCAACTCCAAGCTTTGCCCCTTCAAGAAGGTGCTGGAGCTCAAGAGATAGAAGCCATTCCAGCCCTTCCCACACCATCTCCTCCCCCATCCCCCATCTTAATGCTAAGAAGTGGCCCCAAAATAATCCTGACCCAGCAGAGTATGTATGATGAAAATTCAGCACAGATAGTGACAGTCACGGGTACAGTCCCAGCACGCCCCCTGGACCCCAGCCCCAAAGATCAGGTAGTAGGAAGTCACCCACAACAAGCCTGGGGACTTGTGAATACCTTCAGGTGACCCAAACTAACCTCGCCCAGTTCTCCTTAAACTAAACAGGAGAATTTCAGTTCATGGTTTCTTACTTAAATATGACATTGACAAAGAAAACATACTTTGATCTTATATCAAACACTTTTATTCTTAAAGTGAGAAGTTCATTAAGATAGCTATAGGAGAGTGAAACATGTAGAGTAGAAAAAATTGTGGGTGCTAACCAAACTTCAAATACTGTCACAGCAGAGTTATTCCAATAGCACTTTTCAGCATGGCAGATCACACGTGTTAAAATTAACTACATTCTCTGAACACCTCGCAATGGACATGCACAAGTGATGGAAGCAAACATTTAGGGACTACTGTCCTTGAGATCTTACAGGATGGATTTATGCATACCTCTAAACAAATATATTACAACACATCCAAAACAATTCACATTCACTTAAAAAATATATTTTGACTTGGTACAAAGACTTGAAACAACAAGACGAATACAGGCAAGAAAAAGAATGCTACTTTTATGTGCAAGGTACTGGATTCTTGAATTGAGAATCAGTGTCAGTCCTCACTTCCAACATCACATCGAAAAAGTGTAGTGGAAACGTAAGTCACCTTCAATATGAAGGATGTGAGTTGTATACACTGACAACACTCTCGAAGACACAACAGTATTGCAGGAGGAATGCCAGTATACAGAGTGGACCTTTTTATGAGGCTAAGCACTCGTGAGTTATCAGATGACCCTTCAGATATTTGGGTTAAGTGACTAGAATATTCTGGTTTAATCAAGGCACTTGCAAAGAGCTACCTTTGACATGACAGAGCCCCTACAAGTTGTTAGCCACTGGTGATGGCATGGTTTTTTGGTTAAGCAGCATTCTCTACTGAGAACCCAAGCATGATGCCTTGATCACAAACAAGGTCACTTATAACATTACAACTGCAAAACCAGATTTGCCTAAACTTGCCCCAAATCATGGTTTTTGATCAATCATGTCTGAATAGAAAGGCTTCACTTAAAATCTTGATTCTCCAGAGTTATAATTCACCTTTCTTCAATACCACCCAACACCCCTAAAGCTTGTTTGGTTCTTCTCCACAAAAACACATAGACTGGATCTTTTTCTCCCTTCTACAAATTACTTCCCCAGGAGAGAACTGTAGAACCAACTTAAAAACACAAAATAATCTTACATTTCTCACCAACAGTTAAGTATCAGACCTCCCACTCCTACTCTGACTCGAGCTACAGAGTCCTTTGTGAACACTTTACCAGACGTTCCTCATACCATTAACACAGCTTTCCTTCACCGTCAACTGTCCTTCTTCAACCTTTCCTTGCCCAATGTGAAAGCTAGTGAATTGAGAGGGAAGGAGAAATGGCATTGAAAAAGTATTACTTTGATAAAAATGGGATTCCAGGCTATTACTTGATCCTCCACAGCAAAATTGGACAGCATCATCCATATAGACCCCAACACTAAATTCTCCAAGTGGCTACCTTTTTTTGAAGCCAGGTCTCAAAGCTCAAACCTAAACCTACTGGAGGAAAGTAGCGAAGACTTCCTAATATTGAGCATTATATTATAGACTTAGAAGTACATGGGGAATATGACAGGTCCACACCATTTACTAGGTTGCTTAATTCATCGATAAGAGGCCAAGTTCTCCATTCTCCCCCAGCTCTGCCATTCTGGGAAGAACCCACTGGCCAGCCTCGGACTGCCAAAGATTGTTGACTCTAACTCAGTCTTGGGGGGCACCTGGTAGAAGGCACAGTTCTGGGATGCCATCTGTGTCTGAACGCCATCAGGTTTCCATTGCACATGAACAATTCTATAATTCTGACCCTCATTGTTGTCCCAGAAGACCTGCCCATTAGCCTGGTAAGAAATGCAGAACTCGATTTTTTCCTCAGTTGGAATGACAGAGGGTAAGTCAATGGCAAACGAGAAGGTGTCACTATCTGAGCCACCATACACATTTTTCATGTAGACACAGTCCACATTGGTGTAGTTTTTCCAAGTATCAAAAGTAATACGGATCTGGACCTTCTTCTCGAAGCTCACATTTTTTACCTTCACAGTCCCAGTCACTGTTCGCTCTTGAAGAGAGCAGTTCTCCAGACACACAAAATTCTTCTGGAAGTGGCTCCGAAAACTCAAGTAATCGATTGAAGGCTGAGGGAAGTCTAAAATCAAGTTTTTCTCCTCATGGAGCTTCAAGCCAGAGGACAGATCATTAAGGTCCAAGAGATCAAACTGGAGATCCCACGCTGGTTCTTCTGGGAGGTCAGAGAAGACATGGATGGCGGTGAGGGAGAGGCCCTTGGAATCTGCAAACACAACCCGTTTCTTGGCCTGGTTGTGTGGACTCTTCCAGTCATTCTGTGATTTGGCTTCCTGTTTTATATGGAGACACGGTTTCAGGGGCTTTAATTTGTTGACAAAATTTCTTCGTTGGAGGTCATCATATGGGCCCAGGAAATTCTTCAGAGGTGGGGAATGAGCCAAGCAGAGCCTCATGGCCACATCCACTGGCACGACTGAACTTGTCAAAGGCCGTGGATCTAAAACCTGGATCATTCTGGAATATAAGAAGAAAGGTAGTTGTCACCTGGATCTAGAATACTCTTCCCCTGCTCCCAAATTCACACATACTATTTTGTATTGGCTAAATTATTGCCTGCACAGTAAGTATCAGGGAGGTGCTATCATATGTATTTAAAAAAAACACACACAAAAAAAAACACAGTATTATAATCAGATCTGTGTTCTGTGTTTGATTCTATCATTGACTGGTCACAAGGCCATGGGTTAACTGTTTAAAACACTTGGGGAGTCTCAGATTCCCCAACTGAGACATAAAAGGGTTGGATGGGGTAATCTTTAATGTAGCTTTAAAAACCATTGGCTCTGTTCTGGACCAGTGCTTTTCAAACCTGTCTGGTCACAATGGCCTAAGGAGTTGGTTTTCTTTCTTTTTCTTTAATGCAGAATCCTGGGACTTAGAGTCACTAAGGCAGAACCTTTGGGGTTGGGGACAAGGAGTTACATATACTCTTAAAGCTTACGGTGATGTTAATGACCAGACAGGTTCTGGAGCCATAAGACTCTGTGCTTCCTCTGGCTGCTTTCCTGATTTTGCTATTGAATTGATTATACAACTCTGAAAAGGTAACACACTTGAAAAAAAAAAAAGTTCTCATAGAACCGTTTTGAGAGTGAGAAGGCTGAAACGAGTGAGTGAAGTCAGAGAATTATCTCTGCACTTGGATTATCATGCTCTTCCTCATAAGCGACTGAAATGCAACCCAGCAAAGCATGCACTTAAAAACTTCACACAATCTATGTTTCATGTATAAAGACATCTATGAAAAGACACATTTAAGTGGAAAAAGCTGATAACCTGAAAACTGAACTATTTTTATATATATATTGTGTGTATATATATATGAACATATAAATATCAAAAAAGTTCATAGGAAATGCACCAAAAAGTTAATTATCTCTGGGTGATAGGATTGTAGGTGATCTGTTTTTTGTCTTTGTACTTTTGGGGCATTTTCTAATGTTTGGGCAATAGATATTTATAACTAGAAAGATAATAAAGCTATTTTAAAATTTAAACAAAACTATGCTCCGCAATATTAAATTAAGAAGTGCCCATCAAGTAGGATTTTTTCCCTGGCCCTTAGCCCTCAGTATGTATTGCCAAGCATATGGGCTTTTCTTCCCTATCCTAGCCTTACAGATAAGAGGTGTATGTATACTGTACATGGCATTTCTTAGTAACTCTTCACAGCAGCTCTAAGCAAGTAGGTCATTATCCCAAAATGGATAGTAAAAGAACCTTCACAGAATTTATTGGTCCTGGGATTTTTCTGGAAGACCTACAAACTTAGAACAAAAAAAAAAGAAAAAAAAAGCTAAAGCTATATTTGTGAGTCTAACAATCCTTAACAGGAAGGATTTTTCGAGAAGTCTGCTAAATGTGTCTGAGGAAGCCATTTAAGATGGTTTTGTGGGGAGGTTTGCTTTGTGGGTTTGTTTTGTATTTTTTACTTTTTGCACTTATTGAAAGGCAGTTTTAAAATTTAGTCATTTCCCCGAAATTTTAAATCCTGGCCAAGAGTTCAAAAATCATCCTTTGCTCAAACTCGGCCGCTGAGTTTGCTGTGGCAACCCGTGATAAGAAGAGTGGAGGACGACGAATGAATGCAAATATGGTCCTGTAGTTTTCTCCCCAAGCTAAACTCCCCAGCCAGCGACGTCAGAGTGCCCTTCCCTCAAACTAGGAGTCCTTGGGGGCCTTTGTTCGGGACCAAGAGATGACAGTCGGAATCCATAAGCGAATCAGAACTAGAGCTGACTCTCCTTGAGACAGTTTCTGGTTTCAGATGCGGGTTACCAAAATCAGCTCCGCCTAAGCACCGAGCAAATCTCCACACCTCCCAGGCCTCCCCCTGCTCGATTCCACTCAGCAATGATTGAACGTGCCCTCCCGTGGGGTCTGCATTTGCAGAGCGGAAAGAAGGGAAGCGCAGCCCAACCTCCCCGCAGCCGCCCGCACCCCTGTGCTCCGGGGCGGAGGTCTGCAGCGAACCTACCTGGTGCAGCTCATTAGGCAGAGAAGCGGCGTCGGACCGAGAGATCGGCACTGGCTGCCTGCAAGTTCGCGCCCCGCTCCCAGCTGTCCCAGCTGGGCAGTAGCTCCAGTGGATTGCGGGTACGGCTTCCAAGAGGCCCCTTATCTGCTCCTGACCACGTGGCCCGATCCCTCGACCAACCAGCTCCCAGCTGGGGCGCGAGCCCTCTCCGGAGTACGTGACCGCCGTGGTGCTGGACTCCTGCAGGGTGAGCTCCGCCAGACAGAGCGAGCTCCCGCGGGGGCGGGGGCGGGGTGAGGACTGGCCCAGGGAGAAAGCCGCAAACCTCCCCCAGGCCGGGCGCCAGCTCAGCCCGGCTGCTGGGAAGGAAATGCCTTGAGAGTCTTGAGGCGTCTGTGCACAGTTCCATCTGAGCACGGAAAGCTGTGGCTCTTTCCCCAGGCTTATAGTATTTGAAACGTTCATCTTGTTCATTGCTAGGTGCATTCTTGCATCTTCTCCCGCAAGAAGTTGGCTGCATGTACTTTGATTAGGGGGAATCCATAAACGCAGCCCGCGGTAGCCTGAAGGCTTCCAGGAATGAACCATTCTCTAACAGATGTCGCTAATTAAGCCCACCAGCCCCATAAAGGGAGGTGGCATTTAATGAGAAGGCACTTGGTATTGCGATCTAGTCTTCAGTTTCTCTCCCAGGAAGAGAACCCTAAAGCCAGAAATGAAATGGCCTTTTCGGCTCACATGGCCGGTCAACCACAGAGCCAGTTGGTCAACCCAAATCCCTCGATTCCGTTTGCCGTCCTTCGGCAGCGGTGTGGAAACCAACATGTTAAAATATCACACTCTTCAGTTTCATGACTCTGCGAGCCAGTTACTTCCACTGAGGTTTTGTTATTTTGTTTGGTTTGGGGAGTTTTTAGACCATCAGCTACAATCATAAAATTATATTTCTAAGACGAGGACGAATTCTTTTTATAAAACTCACATCCTCTATTAACGTAAATATCCAGGGGTCAGTTAAAAAATACAAAATTCCTTGTGTCTTTTAGGTAACTGTCAAACAGTGGAATTGTTAAAGTGGCGTGATTAGAATGAAGAAAAAGAAATACCTGCTGAGTATCACTGGGGAAGATACTAAAATGCTGGGGCTTGAGTTGTGAAATGAAATATCCAACTAGAGCAGCGGTTCTCAACCTATGGGTCTCGACCCCTTTGGGGGTGGCCTAAGAACACATATTGAATATATAATGACATATTGTTTTTGTGATTAATCACTATGCTTTAATTATGTTCAATTTGTAACAATGAAAATACATCCTGCATATCAGATATTTACATTATGATTCATAACAGTAGCAAAATTACAGTTATGAAGTAGCAACGAAAATAATTTTATGGTTGGGGGTCACCACAACATGAGGAACTGTATTAAAGGGTCGTGGCATTAGGAAGGTTGAGAACCACTGAACTAGAGCAATTCAGTAGCCCCTCAGCCCAATCAAAGCTAGCAGAAAGCACGTATTCTTTGGGTTTGACACTCACCAGCTACACCAGTGGTTCTCAACCTTGGCTGCACATTAGAATCACCTGAGAATCTTGTTAAAATCCTAATTTCTGGGCCTCATCCTCTGGAAATTCTGTTTCTTTGTTACTAATGATGAGGCCCAGAAATCAGGATTTTAACAAGATTCCCAGGTGATTCTAATGTGCAGCCAAGGTTGAGAACCACTGAGCTACACGAATCCAGGCACGTTTAGACTCAATTTTCACACCTGTACATGCAGATAGAGAGTAAGGTTGTTCTGAGGATTACATAAGATTGTGCAGATGAGAACACTCAGCACAGTGCCCAGCGCAGGTATTCAACCCACATCAGTTCTGGCCGGTCCTCCACTCCTTAGTATTAATTTTCACTGTTACCACAGGAGGCCAGAACCTGAGCTAAGGTACTGATAAGAGCTACTGATAAATGCTTGTTGAGCCTTTATTGTGTGTCAAACACTGCTCTAAGTGTTTTATGTCTTATCTTTTTAATTTTCACAACAATCCTAGGTGGTGTGTATCATTATTGGTCCCATTTTATTTATTTTTTAAATATATTTTTATTGATTTCAGAGAAGAAGGGAAAGGAAGAGAGAGAGAGAAACATCAATGATGAGAGAGAATCATTGACCTGATGCCTCCTGCACGCCTCCTACTAGGGATTGAGCATGCAACCCCGGCATGTGCTCTTGACTGGAATCTAACCCGGGACCCTTCAGTCCACAGGCCATCACTCTATCCACGGAGCCAAACCAGCTAGGGCTGTTAGTCCCATTTTAGAGGAACGATAATGAGTCATTTAAAGGTCAAGATCTGCCCACAACCTCACAAGTAAAACTTGGATTAAAATCTAGCTGATGCCAGAGCAACAACCACTGTACCACACTGTCTTCCTTTAATTACTCATCAGCAATTAGAATGATGGAGGTGGAAGGTGCCTTAGGTAGCATTGGCTTCAAAGTCTTTATTTCACAGATGAGGAATCTAAAACTCAGAGAGGCTGTGCTGCTTGCCAGGGGCTGGTTAGGTCAGAGCCAAAATTAGAACACTGGGTAGAGTTTTCTCCTCTACTCATGATCATATGTTGAGCTTAAAAAGTGGATATTACCAATTAAAGTTATGAGAAACATAAAATAATAAAATCCCACTTGGGGGTAAGGGTATGCATACATACGGAATAGAATATGCTCTACCAAAATTTTAACAGTGCTTATTTTTTTATGGTGAGATTCACAAATTAACAATTGCCTCTCTGTATTTTTAAATTTTTCTACATTGAACATGGACTTCTGTAATTAAGAAATCATTTTAAAGGACATTAAAACTTTCAGATTTAAGTAACATGTACAGCCTATCTATTAGATGCCAAGGACCATGTCATTTATTCACACAGTCCTTTCGAGTTTGCCCTTGCTTCCATTCATGCCACTTTCTCTCCTGCCCCCTGGAGGTGACTGATGCCATAAAAGCCACTCTCTGAACTCAAAATAGATCCGCAAACAGGGCTCTCTCTCCTAACAGGAGTCAACACTCAATAAACCTCTAAACTGGTCCCTCACGTCTTTTTCCCCCCAGCTTTATTGAGATCTAATTGACATATACCATTGTTTAAGTTTAAGGTGTACAACGTATTAATTTGATACACTTAGATATTGTAAAACCATTACCACCAGAGCATTACCTACGGACATATAAGTTGTGCTCTCTTGGCAGCTTTGAAGTATATAATACAGTATTATTAACCATTTTGTACATTAGATCCCCCAAAGTTCATATTCTTTGACCAACATTTCCCCATCCCCACCACCAGTTCCTGGTAACCACTATTTTCTGTTTCTATGAGTCTGTTGTTGTTTTTTAAGATTCCACATATAATTGAGATCATACAGAATTTGTCTTTCTCCATCTGACTTATTTTACTTAGCATAATTACACCCCCCTCACTTCCTGGTTCTTACCACCTCTCATTATGGAATGAGAGGAATTGGGATGGAATCAGTGTTCCTAGGAGTTGCAACAGTGAAGAAGTGGATTAGGACTTGTGGGGAGTTTTATTATTATTTGTAGGTTTTCTCCAACTGTGGTTTGGCATTACTTTGTCCTACCCATCTTGACAATAAATCTACCAGTGAGGGTTTGTTTATTTACGTATTTTTAATCCTCACCCAAGGATATTTTTCCATTGATTTTTAGAAAGTGGAAGAAGGGGGGGATACAGAGTGAGAGAAACATCGATGTGAGACAGACATATTGATTGGTTGCCTCCCACACGCACTCTGACCAGGGCCGGGGATCAAGCCAGCAACTGAGGTATGTGTTCTTGACCAGAATCAAATCCTTCAGTCCACAGGCAGATGCTCTAACCACTGAGCAACTGGCTCAGGCAGTGAGGGCTTATTTATCTACGCAGTATTCCCAGCCATGCCAGGGGTTTCAAGGACTCATAAGTCACAGCCCTTTGGCCTTAAGGACATTATAATTTTCATTACAAAAACCCAAGTTTGAAGTAATGAAACACCCAAGGGACATTTTAAGGAGCTACTAAGCAAGGGCTGAGGATTGCATGGCTCATACAAGTGGGTCTCTTATAGCATTTGCCCAACATGTTACCAGAGATCTGCCCTTATGGGAAACACTCTAGGGATTCCCAAGTTGCCAATTCATTTTCTGCAACCTTGCCCTTTTTTTCATGCCCAATCAAGACAGTACTTGAGAATTCAACCTTATATTTATATTAAAATGTCAGTACTTTAACCACAATTAGCAGTAATGGGATAAACCTCATAACTGACCTTCATACCCCACAATGTAGAGTCCATGAGGTTGAAAACTATTCATTTTGATTAAAAGGACCAGGATTTCTATTTTTAAGAGCAGAGAGGAACCAGTTCACATGTCTCAGTGAATAGTAAGCTCATAAACTAATTCCTTCTTTCTTTGTTAGTGATGTTGGATGGGAACACAATATCAGGTGAGGGAGTGTTAATTTAAACACACACACACACACACACACACACACACACACACACACACGGCTTACTTTGGGCCATGCACTGCTTTAAACACTTTAAAAATATAAACTCATGTAATATTTGTAAGAATCCTGTGAGGTAGAGACCATAATGACGATCCCCATTTTACAGATAAGGAAGCTGAGGTCGCCTTGGGGGTTTAAGTAACTTGTACAAGGTCACACTGCTAGCGGACAGTAGGACAGTGATGGCGAACCTATGACAAAATGAACTCATTTTTTTGGTTGATTTTTCTTTGTTAAATGGCATTTAAATATATAAAATAAATATCAAAAATATAAATTTTTGTTTTACTATGGTTGCAAATATCAAAAAAATTCTATATGTGACACGGCACCAGAGTTAAGTTAGGGTTTTTCAAAATGCTGACACTCGAGCTCAAAAGGTTCGCCATCACTGCAGTAGGATCAGGTTTCAAACCCCTCTAGAGTGCATGCTGCAAGTTGAGTTGCTCTGACAAGCACCACACTGGTACCTCCCAAGACCAAAAGGAAGCTCTATAGAAGCCCAGAGAAATTCAGAAAGGGAAGGGCTCCCTGTGGAATATCTGTGGAAGCTTCAAGGAGGAAGTGAGATTTGGAAAGCCAGGAAAATGGAAAGAATTTTTTAAATGGTGGAATATCATCTTTAGGGCATTTAGATGATAAGAGTCATTGGGATTCAACCAATGAGAGAGTAAGTAAGACCAGAATTGAAATGGTGCCAGCAGCCCATCATTCTTTTCAAATGACATAATCCCAGAGGGCAAGAGAGAAAATTAAGTGTTGCTAATGCAGTGCCCTCGGCGGTCCTGGATCTGTCTCTTATCTCAACAGTGTTAGGACGGAACAGACTCAGGGACGCCCCTTCTTCCAGCCTCCGACCCGCTCCAACCTCATTTCCAGTCACCACCTTCAGAACCACTTCAGCCATCCTCAGCCTCCGAGACCAGCCTACACGGCGTTTCTACCTTAACTCCTACTGCCGAACAACCATGAGCTCCCAAACCCGTCAGAATTATTCCACGGAGGGGGAGGCTGCTGTCAACCGCCTGGCCTGCGTCTGCAGGGCTCCCACCTACCTCTCTCTGAGGTACTATTTCGACCACGAAGATGTGGCTCTCCAGGGCGCGGGCCATTTCCTCCGAGAGTTGGTGGAGAAGAGTGCGAGGGCGCTGAGCGGCTCTTCAAGTTGCAAAACCAGCGCGGTGGCCACATTCTCTCCAGGACACGCTGAGCCTCCCCAAGATGAGTGGGTGAAACTCAGGGCCAAGGACCGCCTGGGCCTTGGAGAGGAACCTGAACCAGGCCTGTGGTGGGAGCTCCCCCTGGTTCTACTCACTGACCCTCAGCTCTGTGACTTCCGGGAGAACCACTTCCTGGGCGAGGAGGTGAAGCTCATCAAGAAGATGGGCGACACCTGGCTCCCCTCCGCAGTCTGGCCGGCCCTGAGGCTGGTCTGGGTGAGGCTCACCCTCCAGCAGGACCAGGAGCCTTTGGAGCCCAGAGGCCTTTAAGGAGCCCCCTCTGCATTCCCTGGTGTCTGGCTTTTGCCTGAGCCTCACCCCGAAACTGCTAGGCAACCTTTTAACCACCCTGGAGACCTCTCCCATGCATTGGACCAAATGAAACAATAAAACTCTTTGCAGAAAAAAAAAGGTGTTTCTGAGTTAGACTATGCTATTAGTCATTCGGTTTGCACTGAGGGAATTATCCTGTGTAATTTTCATTGCCTGAAATTTTTTTAGTTTTTGCCTCATATGCCTCTTTTAAAACATCCCTGCAAGAGAGCAATTTGGCCACAGGCACGAGGCACGATTATTGTTACCAACAGTAAGTGGTTAAAGAAAGTGCAAGACACTTGAGACATATGAGGTGGCTCAGAGGAGGTGAGGAAGAAGGAGAGGGAAGAGGGAATAAACAAAAGATGGCACACGTGGTCTCTCTAATAATCTGTTGAGATGTAGAGATAAAAAGACTCATACCAGGGTGGTTGAGTAGCAAGTGGGTCTTGTGAATTTTGTACACATTTGCTACATGTGCTTCAGAACTTTAGAGAAGGGCAAGGTCTCAGGGCCAGGATGGCCAAAGAGGACCAGGACATGTGGGAACTGCAAAGAAAGCAGTTCGGCCAGAGGGAAGGATTCTAGCTGGGGGTGTAGGGGGGAAGGGTCAAAGGAGAGAGAATCTTTGGACTTTTCTTGGACAAAATTAGAGATCTGAGTGCTACAAAACAAATGAGCAATGAATGAAATAATCTAACTGTAGGGGACAAATTATTCTCACATGTTCATAAGTACATCTCCAAGTTGCTGTAGTTTCTCCATATTCATTGGATGTCTGTGCTGAGTGGGTCTGATATTCTGTACATGTTCTCATTGCTCTCTCGGCCACAGTGCACACATCTAGTTTCCGTTCCATTAAAAAATTTGATTGATTTTAGAGAGGAAGAAATAGGGAGGGAGAGAGAGAGAGAAAAAAAAAACAATGATGAGAGAAAATCATTGATTGGCTGCTTCCTGCATGCCCCCTACAGGGGATGGAGCCTGCAATCCGGACATGTGCCCTGACTGGGAATGGAACCCTGACCTCCTGGTTCATAGGTTCACACTCAACCCCTGAGCCACACCGGCCAGGCTCAGTCCCATATTTTGCTAAACCTTAGCATTCTGAATTGCTGTGACTTTGCACTGATTCTTACCTTGAAAACTCAAGAGCTTCTGAGATGTAGCAGCTCCCTGTCTAACCACTCTACTTGTCAGGCTCATTCTGTCTAGAGACAGATATTTTTCTGCTTCATAACATGGTTTCTGGACTCAGCTATGAACTGTGGCTATTGAAGGAATTTTAAAGCACCTTGGGCAGGAGGAATCCAAACTGAAACAGATCCCCCATTAATAAGGTATTACAACATTTCCGTTCGAACGTGACAAAATTAAACTTCTCCTCTACCAAATCACTCCCCCTCCCCGCCCACCATATACACACAAACACATCACATCACCCCACCCCCAACTCTGAACATAACTGTTAATAACCACCTGCCCCATAAGATGTTCAAAACCCTTTATTCCCTTCTTTTATTATCTCCCTTAATGATGCTGTATTATCTCCCTTAACCATGGAGAGAGATATAGCCAGAGCCAGGGTTTTGTGTCTATCAGAGAACTATTTCTGTGTAGCTGCTACAGGCCTAAGAAGTGGTGAAAAGCTCCATTTGGGGTAAGATGGGAGGCGGGGAGCAATTTCCCAGATCCTACCAAGTCAACTATTTTCACTAGGGCTTGAATATTTTGTCTGAAGTGTAGTAAATCCTCTAGACTAGAATGTCAGCCACAACTTTAAAAACACATTGCAAAGCCCACTTTTGCCAAGCCTTGTTTACTCTTTCTTAGGTAGACATCATATTTTTTTTTAAATGAACAACTGTTACACTCAAGTTACTTACTAAAACTGGCAATTATTTGAAACTGCCAATAGATAAACAAAACATTTCAAATTCTCTCACTTTTCTTATCAAAAAAAACACCTCCTGTAGTCAAAAATAATGATGTTGGGCATCAAAGCATTAGGGTTTGCTTTCCTGTGTACATTGTTGAGCTTTTGTTGTGACATTATTATGTTTTGAGCTCAGACAATTAGTGATTAAAAGAGAAGTTTTTCTTTCTAAAGAAAGGACAGAAGGAATAAAATGAACATTATTAAGAACAAACCATGTGACCAGCACTATTAGGTTCTTTCAGATATTTATGACATAATCACTGGCTATAATATTGGTACAATATAATGATTCTTTTAAATTAAATGCTATTACATTCAAAAGAATAGAAGACCATTGCTTAAAACAAAACAAAAGGTGATTTGTCTTATCTTGCTTCTACCCTACCCCACCCTCAAATCCAAAGTGTTTGGATGCTATTTATAGAGTTAGTCTTCTCTATGGTTGATATTGAAGGAGGTTCATATTTTGCAAACTACAAATAGAAATGCAAGATTTGATTGGTAAAGATGACGGGGGCAGTATTTGAACAATAACGTTTTGTATGCAATTAGTCCTTTCAACTTTACAAATTTCTTCATATATTTTATTTCGTTTAATCATTATTAAAACCCTGAAAAGCCACTCTGCTTATTATTTCATCTTACAGATGAGACTCAGTTGGGAAATGACTAAAGTAGAATTCAAACTATTAAGAGAGGGAGTCGGGTTTCAATGCCAAGACCTAACTTCACATGCAGACACCTTAATCTGAGTAATTAGCTGGTTCATTTGCAGGTATGAAACTAGGATCTGAGCAGGAGCCTTCTGTTGGACACTTCTGTCCTCCTCACTCCCATATTTAATCACCAAGTCCTGCCTGCTGCTGCCTTCTCAGAATGTCTCAAAATTCATGTCTTCTCCATTCCCTTGCCACTCACCATCTCTCAAACTGTTATAACCTTCTAACCAGCCTTTCCCAGCCTCTATGTGTCACTCAAATGGATCTTTCTCACAACTAACAAGCTGTCTAAAATGTAGATCTAATCACAAAATCCTTCAATGGCTGCCCATAATCTAAATAATCAAAAATAAACAAACTGCTGACATTCACAGCCCTCCAGGGTCCCTGTGTATCTCACCAACTTCATCCTCATTTGTCCTTCTTAGCCCTCTCTGTGCTCATACACTATTCCTCTGCCTGAGTGTCCTCCTTCCATTCACCTTTGCTTGACTCCTCTTTTGAAATTCAGCTCAGCTGTCATCTCCCCAAGATACCTTCCAGGACTTCTCTCCAGCCTGCCTCGGGGACCTTCCAATGTGCTCCCACAATGCCCTGTGATTATCAATTCACTTATCATCTACTTTTTTATTATATTTACTAGAGGCCCGGTGCACAAAAATTTGTGCACTTGGGGGTGAGGGGGGGTCCCCCCAGCCCGGCCTGTGCTCTCTCACAGTCTGGGACCCCTTGGGAGATAACGACCTGCTGGCTTAGGCCTGCTCCCGGGTGGCAGAGGGCACGCCCAATCTCTAGGTGCAGCCCCTGGTCAGGCTCAGAGCAGGGCCGATTGGGGAGTTGGGGCACCGCCCCCTGTCA